GGGGGCCTTGGAGACCTCAGGGACCTCTTCCATTTTGATGCTAGGCTGGTAAGGGGATGCAAGCAGAGGAGGAATGCGATCCGACGGTCCAGGACTGCTCGGGCTGGGTGGGAAGGGCGTGTGAGAGTGGATTCAGGGAGAGAGCGGGTCAGGAGGGCAGTGCCAGCAGAGAGCGTGACTATGCTCTGGGTGGGGTGCTGTAGGCTGGAGAGAAAGGGAGGAATCATCACATTTTTATGAGCCCAGGAGCTTGGGTGGCACACCTAGTTTGTGATGGAGAGCAATCTGAAGTTTGGCAGTTCAAACCCTCCCAGAAGCTCCGAGGAAGAAAAGGCCCGTGGAGTGATTTCTGTCCAGAAGACAACCAAGAGCACTCCGTGGGGCACAGCTCTCCCACATAACACAGAGGATCACCTGGCTTTGGAGCGGAAATCGCCAGCAATTAGGTAAAACAGAAGTAAACTCACTGCCGATGAGTCGTGACCCCCACCCTCCCCCTGGTAGGTTTCCAGGATTGTAATTGCCCAGTTTTTCTCCTGGGCAGCTACTGGTGGTTTTGAACTACCAACCAGGAGGGTCAAAGCCCAACTCACAACCACCATACCACCAGGGTTCCCTAGCACTTAGGAGGCAAAGATAGCCCTAACCCCTAGTACCTGTGAGGGGCTAAGCAGAACTGGCTCCCTAATTGACTGGTGAAGTGCAAAATGGAAGTGGGGGGTTCTTTGTTCAGAAAAGTTATTGAAAGGTTCAAGATAGGGACTGTGTTACAGGAAGGCTGGGCTCGCTCCGAGTGTTGGCATGGGCTGCACACACCAGCAGCTGGCCTCGCCCTTTCAGTCCCTGCATCTTTCAGATGGAGAAACCCAGGACACAGACCGCAGAGACCACCTGAGCCTGGATTTGAAGACCCACATTATTTTGAATAGGCTCAAGCGTGGGAACAATTGGAAGGATGGTGCAGGACTGGCCAGTGTTTCCTGTGCATAGGGTCAGGTATGGGTGGGCACTGACATGATGGCACCTAACAACTACATTGTGAACATACAGCAGCTTGGAGAGGGGGTGGAGGAGAAGGAATGTGATGGCCCTGTTGGCCAATCTTGCCTCCTCTTGAGCCGAAGTTTGTGGAGTGTCTCTGTATCTATAATATTTAATCTGTGTGTGAGATGCTTACAGGAAACTCTAAAGTCAATATCTTCGTTGAAGTTTCCTCACTCCCCACTCTCGTGACCCTAGTCATGCCTTTTACTGTGGACTAGGCCAGAGCATGTACACAGGTACAGATAAGAGTTCACCACACACGGAATCCAGATAAACCCCTCAGGTACAGAAATGGGATTAGCGAGACCAGGAGGGTAGGGGAAAGGTGGGGAGAGGAGGGGGGAAGAAACCACGGTGGGGAGACAACAATTGGTGTAAGATATGAAAATAATAATAATGTATAATTTATCAAGGGGTCATGAGGGTGGGAGGGGGAGGGTTGGCTAAAAAGAGGAGCTGATACCAAGGGCTCAAATGGAATGTAAATATTTATAAAATAATGATGGCAACATATGTACAAATATGCTTGATAAAATTGATGCATGGATTGTTATAAGAGCTGTAAGAGCCCTAATAAAAATGATTTTTAAATAAGTAAAGTAAATGCCTTAGTTCCTGTCATTTCTTAGTTTTGCTTACTTTTAAATATATATATATTTATTTATTTATTTATTGGGAGCTCTTACAGATATTATAACAATTCATAATTCAATTAGATCATTGTACAATTGCTGCCACTATCATTTTCAAAACATTTTCTTTCTTCTTGAACTCTTTGATGTCTGCTTCCCTTTATCCCTTCCCTGTTAGACCAGGTTGACTAGAGAAACAAATTCACTGACACTCTTAGATGGACTGTCTCCACAGGTCTCCACCGCTTGACTCCCTCAGGTCTCAGCGGGGGCTCCCCACGGCTTGCCCACAGGAAGACAAAGGCAGAGGGAGTGTGTGGCCCACATCCAGGGAGAAAAAGAGGAAGTTCCCAGATTCCTCATGAGAAGGCCACACCCACAAGGAGGCTTCAATTATCCTTGTGACCTGATTGTCAGACTAGACTCCCACCCCTACACTTACAGTGAACCCTCGCCACTTCGGGCTTCAACTTCCGCGGCTTCACTATATCGCGGTTTTTGCGTAACAGCGCATGCTCTGTCATTACTGCCACTGAGTGGCTCATATTGTACACGCTTCTGTCTGCATCGCTACGTATCGGAACTACGTATCGGATGCATTTTTGCTTTTGTACAGTGTACTGTAATTGTTTGCGATTTTTAAGAAATTTTATCTAAGCCCTATGATGGCTCCTAAACGAGCTGCTTCTT